AGAAAGGCACTCCATGCACTCCCCATTTCTCCACTCTGTAGCCGCTTTCTTTGCAGGTCTGCTTGCTGTCTAACAAGACCATTGTAAGTATCGTGTGAATGCTGCTGCCCTCTTACTTTGACATGAGCTTAGCTTTTTTTTTTCCTCCCCATGCAGCCTGATTCCAATAACGTTCTGTAGCCAGGACAGGGGGTATTTATGTCTGTGCTGTGTGAGGTCGAATCAGTGTGTGCGGCACTGTAGCCTTGCGTGGAATGAGTGACTGTGCTGTATGTGCATGCAGCTGTTTCACTCCGCACACACCATAGGTGTCTGTACATAGGGAGTGTGAGATAGGAGGTTATGGCAGTGAGCTGGCCTGTCACATAGCCCTGGGTCAGTTACTGTTTATGTGCACAGACTGTAAGGTGTACTCTGTGGGTGAGTGGTAAGTGCAGTCATCTATCTATCTATCTATCTCTCTCTCTCTCTCTCTCTCTCTCTCTATCTCTCTCTCTCATTCTCTCCTTCTCTCTCTCCTCCCTGATGTGAAAGCACTAACCCCTCACTGCGTTGTTGTGTTGTTGTTGTTCTGTCGTCGTGGGCCGGCCGGCGGCTGTGTCTCCAGGTCAGAGCCGAGGATTCGCCTTCGTCGAGTTTAGTCACTTGCAGGAGGCCACCCGCTGGATGGAGACCAACCAGGTCACTTCACACTGCGCACACACGCACACGTACATGCCCACAACGCCTCTCGCCAGGCAAAGGCCGCATGCCGGCCGCACGGCCTGCCTGACCAGTGTTGCCACAGTGAAAGCAGACTCACTATTCTTCATTTTCCCCCTTTGTGTTTTAATGGCTGCAGTATCAGGGTTTTTCCTGGAATTCACACTCTTCTTACATTTACTTCTGTCTGAAAGAACAGACCTGCGTTCACTGACAGCATCAGGTCAGCAGTGAACGCAATACAGCAACCAGTAAGATGCTGGTATCTGTGTTTTGGCTATAGCCCCTCCATACAGACACATCCACGACACCCAAGCCCACCAACTTCTCCTCTTTCCTGTCAATTTGCTTTCTTCAATGAAGTATACATTGTTTAGAATCTCTGTAGTTCCATACGAGCCCTAACTTCCTCGGCCCCCACCCCGTTTCGCCTCCAGAACCTATGTTCCATCGGCATGGTGAAGGTCATGTTGGAATGGAGACAGAACTTGATTTAATTAAATTTTTTGCTCTGTTGGCTTGAAGTATTTGTATGCTAGAAACCCATAGCAATAGAACCTTCATTAACTGCTCAGTGTTGTTTAGTCCTGTGTACCAATGGTAGACGTCTTTAGGGGACTCGCCAAGACATGTACACTGTGATGGCATAACTGCTGACTCCATTTCTGTTCACGTTTAACGAATGGCGTCTGAACCCTCCAGGACAGCTGTCTTTCAAGAAAATCTGAAGGTCTTTTTCATAGTCTATTTTTATGGTTGAGATGCACAAAGGAGGCTCAGTAGATAAACTTCAGACTAGGTTCCAGGGTAGTGGCTGTTTTGGCCCATAAGCCTCTCAATGACTACAGTTTGCCATAAACTGCTGACAAAGGATAGGCCTCAGTCTCTCCTGTTGGCTTTGATGAGGTTCTAGTTGAAGTGAGAGAGTCTGTTTACATGTGGGTCAAAGTCCATCTTATTGTGTGTTATGGAGGCTCTTCCTGCCCCTCAAGGATTTTTTATGGCTTTTGTCAAATTAGTTTTATTCCCCCAGATGAAGCAAATGGGATCAGTGCTTGTCAGGATGGTCCAATTGACACATGGAGGGGACTTTTTAATTATATTTTTAGCCATCTGCAGGTTTCCCCTAGAAGGGGGGGGTTGAGGTTATGGTCTGGAGAGCGAGGTCAGTGCCCGCTCCCACATGTCCCCAGTGGCATGCAGGCCAAGGTCTTGGTCCTTTCTCTAAAGCGGAAGGTGACCTTTCTCTGCGGCTTCCGACCTCTCTCTCGTTTCGGACCTCTCTTGCTCTCACCGGCCTTATTTCCGCCTTTCTCTGATCAGTTGAGGCTCTTCTCTTGGCCCAGCTGCTGGCTGGTGAAACTCACTTTCCTTCTCTATTCCCCCGACTCTCTTTCTGGGTGTGTTTCAGAGGGTCCTCACCATCTTGGGTCAGCGAGTCTCCATGCATTACAGTGACCCCAAGCCCCGTGCCAACGAGGACTGGTCCTGCAACAAGGTGCAGATCGCCCAGCTTTTGCTTGGAACCGTTCCCCTTTTAGACTATGAGCTGAGTGAAGTCGGCATGCTTGCCTTCTGTGCCTCCTGGTAACCCTGAGTGTCCTCCCTCTTTAGTGTGGAGTGCAGAACTTCAAAAGGCGAGAGAAATGTTTCAAGTGTGGGATCCCAAAATCAGGTAGAGTGTGTTTACACCAACCCTGCAGTGGGCTCAGATACTGCTGTGCACTCTCCTCTCACTTGTGCTCTTGTGTTGTGATCTGCTTTACTCATTGGTGTGTCCCTCCCTAGAAGCAGAAGTTAAATTACCCGTGGTGCATAAAGAAGCACTATTAGGCCAGCCAAAGGAGTCAGGAGTTCAGGGCTTGCTGCCGCTGCCCACTATCTACACCCCAGCTGCCCCTATTCTGCCATTGGCAGTGCCTGCCCAGCCGGTGGAGGTAGCCAATGACAGTAAGTATGATCGACTGCTCTGGTATGCTTGGCTGATTAAGACACACACCTTAAGCTGTCTTCACATACAATGGCATGCTCTCAGCTCTGATCCTGAGGAACCTTGGACCTCACACTGCCCTGGAGAGCATCCTGACTGCCCTGGCACCTTTCGCTACACTGTCCCCATCGAATGTGCGCCTCATCAAGGACAAGCAGACGCAGCTCAACCGTGGATTTGCCTTCCTGCAGCTCAGCACCATCGTGGTGAGAGACCTGATTTACTGGCAGTTAGTGTTAACCAGCTGCAGGCTAAATCAAGGCCTCACTCCCATCTCCTGCTGTGTCCTCCAGGAGGCATCCCAGCTGCTCCAGATCCTGCAGGCCCTGCAGCCACCACTGACCATCGATGGGAAGGTCATAGCTGTGGAGTATGCCAAGGGCTCCAAGCGGTAACACTCACATTCCCAAAAGTTTGATGGCTAAATGAACCTTCATGAACCATTTGCCGTATTTTCTAACCTCACTAGATGGTGCTCTCTAATCAAAACAGAGCTCAATACATGCTCTAATGCAATCCAAGAGCACCATCTAGTGGAGTCAAAGAATACAGCATATGGTTCATGAAGTTTCATTTGGCCATCACTACCCTCAAGCACAGCTCTGTACCATCAGCCAGATCTAAACAAGGTGACATTCTTAGGAAAGTAAATCACCACAACCACACATGTTGGAGTGCTCTCCCTCATAACTTTCGACATAAACATGCTTGTTGTGGAGGGGGGTGGCCTTATTTTCTTGTTCATTTGCATATTTCATAACCCATCTACCAGTGAGCTTTCAGCTGTTTGACATGCTTGCCACCTCTGTCTGGTTTCCCTCAGTGACGTGTTCCTGACAGACAGCAGCCGGGTCAGTGCGGTCACCGCAGCCAGCACAGCCATCGCTGCAGCTCAGTGGGCCGTCACTCAGGTACCAGGCTGTGCGCCCTGCCCTCGCTTGTTTGACCCAAATGCTTTGATGTTACTGTTCTCTCTCTGCACTCCCTCCACTGTTTTTTTTTTTCTTTTCTTTTCTTTTCTCAGACAGCACAAAATGCTGCCACTACATCACAAGGGGGCGAGTACAGCCTGTACCAGCAGGGGGCAGACGTGGGCACGTACACCCAGGAGGGGCAGGAGATTCCAGGGTCGGAAGGGCAGGGATATGAAGGAGGGCGTGTGACAGGGGCTGGAGCTGTGCCAGCTGCTCCTGGGGCTGGACTGATGGGAGCATATGGAGGATCCACAGCAGGTGAGGAGGTTCTGTGCCCATTATCCTCAGTGCCAGAGAGCAGGGTGTACTGGTACCGAAAACAAACATGGAAGTGGACAGCTGCTTTTTTGAATATTCTGTTTTGAATGTGAATTTCTGTCTCCAAGCTACAGCTGTAGCATCCTCTGAACCAGAGGCACCAGGAGTGGATGCTTGCCAGGGGCCTCTGGGGGCCACAGCAGCCCAGGCACCCTCCACCCCTGGGGCCACGCAGTCTGCACAGGTACGCTGAAGTAGACCCACAGGCAGCAGAATCGGGAGCTTTGGATAGATGGTGTGAGTGTGAGTAGAGGCAGGAGCACTCAGCAGACGGGTCCCTGACCCAATGCTCCTTCCTCAGGCCGTACTCTATACCCAGGCCCCCACGGCCCAGAAGACTGAGATCATTGGGAAGCCCCAGCCTGCGGCCCCCAGACAGCCAGCGACCCCCGGCACGCCATACGAGTATCAGCAGTACCGTAAGTATGAGAGATACTCCAAGCTGTCGGTGTCTCCCTGCACTTTGCTGTCAGAAACATGCTGTCCCTCTTTCCCTCCAGCTGTGCCAGATGTGTCCACCTACCAGTACGATGAGAACTCTGGCTTCTACTATGACCCGCTGACTGGCCTGTACTACGACGCCACCTCTCAGGTCTGCTGTTTCCTTGTCCGCTCCGATCTGAAATGCACAGCACATGTATGGAGTCTTTAGCTTTATGATTCATGAAGAAGGGCTTCGCACTTATGGTCTGATTCTTTCTGCTTTACACAGTATTACTACAACTCCCACACCCAGCAGTACATGTACTGGGATGGGGAAAAGCAGACCTACACCCCAGCTCCCGCTCAGTCCTCCACGGAGACTTCCTCCGAGTTCCCACCCTGCAACCTGGCTTCTTCCAGCAAGGAGAAGAAGAAACCGAAGACCAAGACGGCTCAGCAGGTACGCAGCTGCCGCAGGAAGGTGACAGGCGCAGTTCTTGTGACCCCGAATCACGAGGTGCGCTTGCTAAATGGTCCCCGGCGTGGCCACACTCTCCTGTCCCAGATTGCGAAGGATATGGAACGTTGGGCCAAGAGCCTGAACAGGCAGAAGGAGAACATGCGCTCAAGCGCTTCCACCTCCTCCCTGCCGGGCCGCGCCGATGACAGGAAGGAGTCCGCCAGCGCCGACGCCGGATATGCCATCCTGGAGAAGAAGGTCGTGCCTGTCCCCCCCATCCCACCCGTAATTCCTTTTTCTTTCTTCTGGTTTTGGTGGGTGTCAGGGGCCTGCTGTCTGGCTCTGTGTCTGTATTCACCCTGCAGCATGTCTCCCATATGCAGGGCACCCTGTTGGAGAGGCCGCAGACCCTGATGGACCAGCTGAAACGAGTGGAGGAGAGAGGGGTGAGGATGGAAGGGGTGTTATCTCGCTGTGTTTTTGTTACATGGTTTCATTTAAGCTGCATGGTTCTTATGCCCTGAAATCCGACCCTCGTCACAGAAGAGCAGCCCCCCTCAGGGCCTGGTGGCCGCCTACAGTGGCGAGAGTGACAGCGAGGAAGAGGGTGGCGGGGAGAAGGGGAGCGTGGACAAGGAGGAGAAACTGACGGACTGGGCCAAACTGGCCTGCCTGCTGTGCAGGAGACAATTCCCCAGCAAGGAAGCCCTTCTCCGGCACCAGCAGCTGTCGGAGCTGCATAAGGTGGGTTTAGAACCCTAGGGGGTGGGGCCAGGTCATGTGGGCGGAGCCAACATGACACTGACCACTCCTCCGCATGTTTCCTTCCCTCCTACACAGCAAAACCTGGAGCAGAGGAAGAGTCGGCAAGCAGAGCAAGACGGCTCAGAGAGACGGGAGGGTGAGGTGTGTACTGGCGCGGTCACATAAGTACGCACGGTGCCGTGCCGCCTGCAGTTTTACAGTGGGCCATTTTTTGCAGCTGAAGTACAGGGATCGAGCTGCAGAAAGGAGGGAGAAGCTTGGTGTTCCAGATCAGCCAGATGCCAAGAAGATGAAGTTCAGCCCCCTGTATGTATGTACACACACCGCTGTAGGCATGTATATATGTATGTATCTATCTGTACTTTACACACATCACTGCTCCTAATGGGCCACTCGCAAGCTTACTTACTGTCTTTCTGTTCTGTTTCAACCCCATTTCCAGTGATGGAGTGTCAGAGACCACCCTGCAGTGATGCTGTGCGGTAGGGCACAGAAGAGCTTTGCAGTGCACAGCAAGGAGAGCGATGGGGTTCCCAGTACTCCCAGTACTCTGGGAGTACTCGTCTCTGCTGACCCGTCCTGAGTGTCCATCCTTCTTCACGCCCCACGTCATATGGTGCGATGGCACCGCAAGCAGTATGGATTCACAGCGGGAGCAGCGACTGTCCTTCCGGAACCTTCCTAAGCTTCGGATGTGCCCTGTGTTGGTGTGAGGAGACGTGAGCAGAGAGACTGTTGCTGCCTTAGCAGACGTGTGGTAGCATCGTGCCGTATTTACAGTGCATCTGTTCAGTACCGCTATACATTTCAAGTCGATGTACAGCCAACGTGCAGGGACCTGTGCTGTGTAAACTGAGCAGCCCTCTGGGTCTACACGTGCATCATTTACAGTGCGTTTACAGCAAGTGGTGGAGCGCCGAACGCTGCTGTCCAGCTGCTGCCTTTTCATTAAAAGTGTGTCTGTCCGTGTCCCTCTATGTGTTTGTTTGGTGATGATGGGTTAAGGTTTCTTCCTGCTTGGTGTGACAGTGACAGGTGACAGTGTATTCGGGTGTCACCCACATTGTTTACATGTTTTTCCAGGTTGGAATGAATCGCAAATGTGACTGCTTTCATACCTGCATTTTCCCTCTTCAGTCTTTATACGTGCTGCCCGCAGTCTCGACGTACTGCTGTCAGTAAAGTGAAAAAAGTTTGAATGGGTATAAGTAGCATAAAATTGGCATAAATTACATGGCATTTAGTTTAGTAACCCTGGGCAGGTGTGTCTTCGGCTGTCGTATTTCCTCTAAAAGCCAGCGTTACCTGTTACACGTGCTAACCCTTTTCTGGGGCTGTTTATATTCAGCCGGAAGGATGGCACAATGTGCACCTCTCTCCCTCAGTCCTGCGAGCGCGGCTCTGGTGCCACCTGGGGCACGTGCATCTCGTCTTCTGTGCCCTCTTCTGTCCTTATGGCCTCCACCCCAGCTGCAACTCTCTGCCACTATCGTCCCAGTACACAAGAAAATGTCTAATGCAGTCAAAGTTAATGAGATTTGAGAACCTAAGCTTCATTTGTACTGTGGCAGCCAAAATGACGTACTACAAGAAATGTTAGTAGTTTTGTATTTTTCAAAGCATGTAAACTATGCATTAAGTGATCCGTATCGCCCCTCAGAATGTAGTGTTCCGTGTTGCACGCTGAACTCGAGCCTTGTGCATCGGTGCTGACACTTCCATGTACGGGCATGTTGTTGTACAATTTGTGTATATATTTTTCCTGTAAGTAATCAGTTGGTTATTAAGTTATTGGTTCCAGATGTTTTGTCTTCTGGCCCAAGCATTCTGTGTATTGTTAATTATGGCAGTGATTGTTCACTTTGTAAATGTACATTTGAGTTCAAAGGTCTAACTTTTGTGTTTAACAATTTTGCTGCTATGTTATTAACCAATGAAACATTTATATTTTTATCTTCGATTGTAATTTGATCTTTTTACGCATGCCTTTTTGGCGACTCAAATTAATTTACTTTACGTGTATCCTAATTGCGTTTGTTTTGTCTCGGAAGTTTGTTATAATTAAAAATGAGTATAAGCAGGATCATCGGCCTGTTTTTAAGTAGGCGAGAAATAAAGTGATATTTCATTGGATTTAGATACATTTCACATTTATTACGTTGCCGGATTACTGCTGCTATCTCAAGCTCTTTTTGCCTTCTGTACATTGCAGAAAGGCAAGTACTATACCTCCGTGAACATGTTTTTCTGTTGATTACAACCGAACCATCAGGCTCCGTGTTCAGATTTATCTTCCGCAATGAGAGGTACGGTATGCAATAGACAAGGCGCTCATAACATACTCGTACAAAAACTTGCGATCCTCAGACAGGAACCTTAACTAAAACGACTTACACGAATATCTATCACTTAAAAATATCGTTAAACAGGATGCAGAAGTGTTCAATTTACTAGGAAATGGCTTGCTACTTGCTTTTACCGTGTTCGTAAACCCCAGGATGATGTAGCATCTATAACTATGTATTTCTTGTTAATTGATAAGTAGTCAAAATGTTACGATTCGTATGTTTACTTTTTCATAGGTTATTGCATATTAGGCGTGTATCGTAAGTAGTTTGTAGCTAAAAGTATTAATCGACTTCGGTCTCTGCACTAAATTCGTTTCTCATTGCTTCGGTCAGTGGGTCTTATGCTAATAAACAAGATACTCCCTCTTTAACCAACCTACCAGATATATGATATGTGACCGAATGTGGATGAATCTTTCAGCACGAACGAACTCAGAAGAACTACATTTTCCATATCACCTACAAACTGGACGCATCCTCTCCCACTGAAACTATTGGCTACCCCCGACATCAGTCATCGATGGTACTTCCCAAACAAGCTGAATGTCGTAATCTCCCTTTGAATCTACTGGCTAACCCCGTTGCTAACCATCTAAGGTCGTTGGCGTCGTTTCCATGGCTACGTTATTACGGGTTTTCAGAAGTTCAGATCACCAGGCACGTATTCTGCAATAATATGTTACTTCATTAACTATGTAGCTGAAAATACAATAAACAGTTAAGCAAAAAAGAAGTGAGCGCACACACACCTACACGTGTTTTTTTTTCTCCTTAATGTAGCAAACTGTACAAAAGTGAAAGAAGCAATGTCAGACATTGAAGAAGAGGAGCTCAGCTTTGGAGAGTCAGAGGAAGTAGAGGAGGAGGAGGACACCAAGGAGGAAGGTGAGGGGGAGCACGAAGGAGAGGATGCCGTGTTAGAGCCAGAAGACCAGGTACAGCTCATGTGGTGAGCTCTCATTAATTACAGTGTGTTGTTGGGTCCAACGTGCCAAACTTTCTTAAAAATCACATCATGTTTAGTTAATCATGTTCTCGATGTGGTTTGCTTACTTTCAGTGTCTGATTTTTCTTGTTTAAAGGCTAGTTTCATGTACGATAAACAAAGGTGTGGTTGTTTCTCTGACAGTTTGTGATTTCAGTACATTCTGGTTTGTGGTCAGTGTCCATAGCACCTGTCTCCCTCTCAATACACAGATTGTTGCCTGCCCAGTCACTCAGGAGATGATCGCTCATGGTCTGTCAATGCTATGTAAGATTGGGAACGGTCTGGCTCACGCTTTTGTCAAAATGGATTTGAGAGACAGGTAAGTGTCCCATCTGCTCCTCTCATCATTTGGATCATTTGGGACTGTGACATACTTATAAGTGTGTCACCTATAAGGGTCCATGTTGGCTTAAGCAGAGAAGCTTAACTGCTGTAGCACCCCTGTGTTTTGCCTCCTGCCCCTGTTTACATCTCGGCATGGATTAAATAGATCATGTAGTACTGTCTTTAGATACGGTACCAGTGAAAAGTATGGACACACGTACCCATAAAAAGGTTTATTTGTACTATTCTCTATATTTTAGAATAATTAGACATCAATATTATAAAATAACATATATAGAATTATGCACTGGCCAAAAAACTTTATTTGTTGGGGGGGCAACTATATGGGTTGGGTCTTCAAATCCTGTGATCGGCAGAGTGATCCCACCACTACCCCCTTGAGCAAAGCTACACCAGTTTCATGAGGTTACCTTCTACAATGCTTTTCTAGCTGTCCATATGGTGAGAACTCATTGGCTGCTTTTCCTTCACTCTTTGGTCAAACTCTTCCCAAACCATCTCTACTGTGTTTATGTCATATCATGTGACACTAGCACTCTCCTTTGTAGGTGGCTTGGTGTGTCCAAATTTTTGACTGGTACTGGGAACCTTTCTGCCGACGAAATATGCAACCCAACCCTGAATACCCCACTCTTTTTCCTGTTGCCAGGAGACTGACAGACATCGCTCTGCTTAGCAACTTTGTCCACCTGCGGTTCCTGGACATCTCATCCAATTGTCTGTCAGACTTGTCTCCACTGGCAGCGCTCACGCAACTTCTCTGGCTGAACGTGGATGGAAATCGGGTGGAGAGTTTGGCCGGCCAGCCAATGAACCAAATGGCCTATTTACAATGCCTCAGTATGGCAACCAATCGTATCCATAGTCCTGAGGGCCTCAAAGGTCTGGCCCTAGAGAGCCTCAATCTGATTGGTCAGTGTCAGACACATTCAGTCTGGGTGGATGATCAGTTTTGACAGTAAACCTTTGGGGTCAATCTGTCACAATTCTTGCCACTTAACACTGAAAGAACGTCTCTCCTCAGGTAACAGCATTCGGCGAATGTCAGGTCTGCAATGTGACAGACTGGGAAACTTAGTGACTCTGGAACTGAGAGGGAATAAGCTGGAGACGACAGATGGCATCCAGCTGCCAAATCTGCGCAGACTCTACCTGGTATAGTCTTCTCACACCAGAGGGCCTATCTGTGAAGACTCCAGGGAGCCTTGTTATGCAGTCAATTAAAAAAAATACATCTGCTTCTTTACTCCACTGATATAATGTAACCCAAATCCCCCAGCATCTGCTTAAGCTGGACTGTGTTCTTAACCTGTATTTTACCTGTGCTGACTCCACCTGGTAGACCTCTCTCACAATTCAGGGTCTACTTGCTGTAATATCAGTAGCAAAATGAAACATTCCTGCTAATCATTCAACCTCTCTTCTACGGCCAGTTTAGGCTCAGAACCGCATTAAGCAGCTGAAGGGACTGGACCATCTGGAGCGACTTACCACCCTGCACCTGCGGGACAACCAGTTGGAGATCCTAGATGGCATGAGTGCCAACATGAAGGCTCTACAGTACCTGAACATCAGGTAGCACCAGTGGAACCGTGGCTGTCCTTGGTACTGTGTGGAGAGCCCAGCCAGCTTCTGGTTACACCTTCACTGGAGATGATGCTAATTGGTGATGGTCTTTCTCACCAGGGGTAACCTGGTGTCCTCCCAGAAAGCTCTGCACTCTCTGACAAGTGTATCAGGCACCTTGCAGACGCTAGTTTTGTCTGAGAACCCGCTGGCTGAGGCCGAGGATTACCGTCTGCATTTGCTGGCCCGGCTGCCCCTGCTGGAGAGGTTGGACAAGAAGCCTGTCACAGCAGACGAGAGGGAGGAGGCCCAGGCTGTGCTCAGGGTCAGATGTTCATTTGCAGTGGGTGGGCCCAGGGGAATGCTGAGGCAACATAAAGCATGTATGTGTGTGTTATTTTTATGAGAGTGAAACAGGGGGAGTCATCTAAACAGTTCATTTTTCCTTTTTAGGAATTTGAAGAAGATGACATCTTGGAACAAGATTAGTCACATCTACAAGGGATGTGACTTAAGCCGTGATATTCTTTTCACATCTCTTGAACCATGCAGGAATCAGTCCTTAAGTTCAGTTTTAGCTTGTTTCTAAGCTCTGTCCACATCACTGAAATCAATGTGGTTGGTTTATCATATTTTCATTGGTTCCATTAAAGTGTCTAATAACCTAGTTTTTCTCTTCTAAACTTAAAAAAATAATAATTAAGTGCACATTATTATAATCAAGGCTGCCAACTCTCACGCATCTTGAGTGACTTTCATACTTTGACTCACGCTCATGCAATAATTCTTATGGCAAATCTATATTATTCCATTATGAACCTAAAATTAGCTACGTCAAAAGCATTGGGGTAGTTTGCAAACCATACAGTCTATTTACAAGGTAATAAAACTGTCACATACATGTAAATATCTGTGCATGTATGTGCAGACTTGTCTTGAATTGACAATCTCACTCCAGCCAGCTGACCAAAGTTGCCAACCCTGTTATAATCATTATTGTCTTCCAAACACAATGGTCTTTCAAAGAACAGGTCATTTCATTGCATAATGGTTGTGCGTTCTATTCTGATTACGTTAGGGTTTCAAGCAGACACATTGGTTAGTCTGGAGGCAGACAAATGTACATATTAATCAGACAAATTATAGTACAGGCAGGCTTTTATTATATCTGGAAGATATAAAATTATATATGGAATAGTGGAACAGGTGTTGGTGTGGGAAACAGAGAAGCTCATCCTGTAGTCTGTGTGGATCCGAATGCCCCGGTGCAGTAATGCTGACAGTGTGCTGTAAAACCAAGGTCCTGACTCTGTGGGCATCCTTTATGGGGTGGTACCCTCATGTCCTGGCTAAATTGCCCACTGTAGCCCTTTCAAATCTGGCCTCCTGATCATTCCCTATATCTAACTGGTGAATTCTCTCCTGTGCCTTCACCACCTTAGCTACTGTATGGTGAGCATACTGGTGCAGGATGGCTGCCTTTGTGTCATCCAGGTGGGGGCTACATAGTGGTGGTAGTTAAAGTGGCTCCCCGTTGCTTCAGTAAAGCGCTTTGGGTGTTGTGAAAAAGCACTATATAAATGCAACATTCATTCATCTGTGTTCATAATCCATTATCCTTGATTAAGCCGCTGGATCAGCATAATGTAATAAGAAGATATGACATTACATATTTTTATTTAAAAAAAAAATATCAGGAAATTATTGTTTGGATGTTACAGCGTAAAAGCTGATAATTGTGAAACATCATGTAAAAACAATCTACATAATTCCGCGAATTAAAAATGGACGAAACATATGCCAAAAACTTAAGTTTCAAGCGTCTGCATTGCTCGGGGGTGGGGAGGGGCAATGCAGAGTCGGACCATGTGCCCCGTGGGAGGAAACGTGGGCTGGGCTATGTGAGGATATAAGTTTAAAACCTGCGGATCAAGGCATTCATCTCCTGGTGAAGGCATAGAGAAGCTTTGGACGAGATGGCGAGCTACGAGAAGCCATCTGATGCAGTCTTACAGGCTCTTCAAGATGTGGCCAACAAACTGAGGATTCACTCCATCAACGCGACATGCGCCTCCAACTCCGGGTGAATTTCTTCCCCTTAAACTTATGTAATTCCCTCGTATTTCCACTAATTTCCAGTCCGCATTTATTCACGCAGTGAGCTCACAGACTTCTTTTTTTTTTTTTTTTTTTTTTTTTTTTACTGACTGTGACTATTTTGTCGATTGAAATTTTCTGTACATGGTGTCAACTCGTTTACTGCCGAAATACTACTTCGGTGTGATAATGGTACAAAAGCCGATATAAATTTACCCAAATCCCCCTGGCGTATGCTAAACGCGGCTGGACTGCGTTATAGGTTTAGCACTGTGTTTCTTAAATCGCGTTAATTTATCCTAATGAGCAGGCTCCCCGTCTGCCATTTAACATGCGTTACCTGCTGGTTTAATGGAGTTCTGTGGGACCGACCGCTACCCCCGGAGTAATCTACGAGTATTACCGGACTGGGTTTGGTTGTGCTAGAGCTAGACCAATACGCTGAAAAGTATATTTGCGTTACGCCGATTAAATCCCATGTGGTTATGCTGACCTCATGGCTGCCATAACGGTACTCACCCACTGATCTTGTCTTTACCTCAAAGTTTGGAAAAAGTGAACAAGAATCCCTAACTGATCTGTGAGAGAATTACTTGCATCTGACAATGATTTTAAAGCATGTTGTGAATGTAAATCCCTACTTTTGTTCATGTCCCATCTTGCCCTGTCAAATGTGTGTAATACTATTTATTTGAAACGACACTCATTTGCTTGTGCTGCAACTTCTGATGGAGGGCAGTAATGTACTTGTGATTGTCTTAGTTCAGCTGTGTTGAACCACCCTGACACCCAGTAAGTTCAAGTTCTGCTTCCTACTCCAGACACCCCACCTCATGTTGCAGTGCCGCAGAGATCATGTCTGTGCTTTTCTTCCACACGATGCGCTACAAGACGAAGGACCCATGCAGTCCTTGCAATGACCGCTTTGTCATGTCCAAGGTGGGCTACTGCTGTCTGGTTGTATTGTTTCCTTATCCCTTGTCTTCTACCGATAAGTGTGCAATCTGTACCTGACTGAGCTTGATTACTGATCTGCAGTCTATGCCAATCTGCTCTAAGCCATTACCCTTGCATTGATTTAAGCATATTTGTTTGCTAGTTTAGCAAGTGAACCAAATATTGGCAAAACTGCAACGTAAACTCTGACCCTGAAGTTGCTTCATTACCTTCCCTCCCCAATCCAGGGTCATGCTGCACCTATCCTCTATGCTGCTTGGGTAGAAGCTGGATTTCTGGAGGAGTCGAAGCTCCTTGATCTGCGCAAGATCAACTGTGAGCTGGAGGGCCACCCAACACCAGTAAGACCCTCTGCTTTGCCATGCATCACTCTGCTGTGATCCCTCCAGCGATGGAAGGTGGTGCTGTTTGACTTAATTTCTTCTCTGCTCTACAGAGGCTGCCATTTGTTGACGTAGCAACTGGTTCCTTGGGTCAGGGTTTGGGTGCTGCATGTGGAATGGCTTACACTGGAAAATATTTTGACAAGTCCAGGTATTTCAGCCCTAACTGAGATGCTTATGTTTAAATTAGTCTCTCTGGTAATCAGAATGGGAATTGGCTTTATCTACAAGTACTGATAAACCTGTTTGACTGACAGAATATAATCTCACACTCTGGTCCCAAACTTCATCATAACCTGTTACCTCTAGAATCCTCTAGATCACTGTTTCCCAGCCCAGTCCTTGGGGACCACCAGGACCAGTCCAGGTTGGGAGAGGGCAAAAATGTGGACTGGCTGGGGATTCCTGAGGACTGGGTTGAGAGATGCTGTTCTAGATCATTTAAGCTGCATGTGAATTACTTCTCGTTTGTTGCATTTAAACATCAGTTTGCATGAGGCTTAAGTGGTGAAACATTATCAGTAGTCACTTCTTGCCGTTTGTTAACTGCATTTGCTCTTGCTTCTCCCCCAATGTCCTGTTTCAGCTACCGTGTGTACTGCCTGCTTGGTGATGGTGAGTGCTCTGAGGGTGCAGTGTGGGAGGCCATGGCCTTTGCTTCCCACTACCGCCTGGACAACCTGGTGGCCATTGTGGATGTGAATCGTCTAGGGCAGAGTGAGGCTACACCACTGCAGCATGATATGGACATTTACCTCAAGCGCTGTGAAGCCTTTGGGTATGTGGACCATGGAGTCGGAGTGAAAATGCTTGTGGTCCAAATACTACTGAGACCCCTCCAGTCTTGAATCATTACTTTAGAATTGCACAGGGCCAAACTTCCATTAGTGGTCAGCAGTGACCATAAAGTTTGGATGAGTTCATAAACTGTATAGCATTTGTTTGCCTGTTAATGACTTGTGCATCCCCATGAATGGGGGTGGTGTCTGGCCTCACTGTAGTTATTCAGCCCCTGTGTATCCCCACAGCTGGAACACGTGTGTAGTGGATGGCCACAACATCCCAGAGCTCTGCCAGGTGCTGTTGCAGGCCCAGCATGTGAAGGAGAGGCCAACTGCCATCATTGCCAGAACTTTCAAAGGCAAAGGCCTGAAAGGTGTGGGAGCCCCCTACTGGAAACTGGGTCGATGTCTGTTTTTTAAAGGGATGGGGACCTTGGGTACCTTAAATGGCCTAAATGTCTCCCAGTCCAGTCCTTGAGGGACCTGCAGACAGTCCATGTATTTTTTTTCCAAATAGAAGCTAGGAAGGCAAAAACATGGACTGTCTGTGGGTCCCTGAGGACTGGGTTGGGGAAACCTTAGCCTAGATTCCTGAAACTTGTGAATTTATTCTGTGGTCCTGCTTCAATTACAGGGTGAATTATAAGTGGTAACCTTTCTCTGGGATTGAATATCCTGGAGTTTTCCACTTGCCAGCTTTTTGTTAAGGTATTCCTTGGAGCTAACAAAGTGATTGTAGGTCCTACTTTTGTTCCTTTTTAATCAGGAATTGAGAATGAGGATAACTGGCATGGCAAGCCCCTCCCAAAGGACAGTGTAGATGGCTTCCTATCAGAACTCTGGGGGCTGATCAAGACAGACAAACCCCCCTGTCCAGTGTTGCCTAAAGAGGATGCTGCTGCTTTGGAGAGTGGTCCCATCAGCTTGCCTTCACCACCTGCATTCACACTTGGTGATAAGGTGAGTGGATGTGGCTTGTCACTTATCCAAATGAGGTCAGTGTTGCTGTTCTAGAATTACTTAGCCAAGCACTGTTGGAACTCTAAATCATGTAACAAAATACAACATTGAAAGCTTGCTGGAGGGAGTCCAAGAACTTGCCATTCTGTTTCTGTAGGTGGCAACAAGACGTGCTTATGGTGTTGCTCTTGCAAAGTTGGGGCAGGCCTGCCAGCGCATTGTAGCTCTGGATGGCGACACAAAGAACTCCACCTTTGCAGAGACCTTCAAGAAAACCCACCCAGAGCGCTACATTGAGTGCTTCATTGCAGAGCAAAATATGGTGAGGCCTAATGTCCAAACTTTATTTCTGTTCCACAGACACTTTGAAGGCGGAATCACTCAGGCTACAACTATGCTAATCTCCACCTCAGGTTAGTGTGGCTGTTGGCTGTGCCGCACGGAATCGCTGTGTGCCATTTGCCAGCACCTTTGGTGCCTTCCTGTCCCGTGCCTACGATCAGATCCGCATGGCGGCCATCTCCCAGTCGAACATCAACTTGGTTGGCTCACATTGTGGGGTTTCCATTGGTAGGTCCTCAAACAACCCACTACATCCTATTAACCAGGTATCATTCTTTCCTATTATACTTTTCAACCATATGAATAGGATGAAGAAATGGACTTCTGCATGTGTGGGTGGGATGAGTTTGACAAAACTATAGTGTGAATAAGTGGTTGCAGCTGGTAATCACAGTACCTCGTTGGGTAACGCTTGCTTTAAACCTCTAGGGATGAGGAATTGAATCTTGCTTGTGAGACTGGGAGAAGATTTCACATGCATGGGTTTCATCCAGTTACTCAAGTGTCATTCGTGCCCTGCAATAGACTGGCATCCCACTTGGGGTGGTGTACCATTACCTTGTTTCCTGTGCTGCCTGGGAAACTCCAGGCCCAACCCGTCAAGATCGAGTGGTTGTAAGACTTTGGCATCAGAACAACCTAGTAAAGGAAATGCTGAATCCTAAGGTCAAATAGCTTAAGATCATTTTTTTTTTTCTTCCTTAAACCGAACATCCTTTTATTCAACCCCCATTAATTTGGAGCTTGGTCTGTCAAGTGACTGGGCTTTGCAGACATGGCTTTAGATTGGAACCTCTACCTGTGTTCAGGTGAAGATGGACCCTCCCAGATGGCCCTGGAGGACCTGGCCATGTTCAGAGCTATTCCTACCTGTACAATCTTCTACCCCTGTGATGCAGTCTCCACAGAGAGGTCTGTGGAGCTGGCTGCTAATAAAAAGGTGAGGGATGGAAACTCCAAGGATGTTGTCATGGGACATGAATCCATCTACCACTAAGATTTTCTTAATGTGCTGCCATCCTCTTAGGGAATTTGCTTCATCAGGACCAGTCGGCCAGACACTCCTGTGATCTACCCACCAGAGGAGAAGTTTGAAGTGGGATATGCCAAGGTAAGTGAGAACATTCTGTTGGTTACAGTGTACTCTTAACACTGTTTTAACCTAATTTTTGTGTAGGTGGTGCGCCAGTCTGACAGTGACAAAGTAACAATCATTGGTGCTGGTGTGACTCTGCATGAAGCTCTGGCTGCAGCTGATCTCCTAGCCAGTGAGGGTAATGGCAGTTCTTGCATGTATAGCAGGGTACCACCGAGACTAGTATTGTTTCACAAACAGCATCTAATCTATTGTAGGTATGAATGTCAGGGTTATTGACCCATTTACCATCAAACCACTGGATGCTGACACCATTGTGTCCAGTGCTCGGGCCACAGCTGGGAAAGTACTTACTGTGGAGGATCACTACAGAGAAGGTGAGCCCCAGAGCCGAGGTGCTGAGCTTGTATCGCTGTGCAGTTTCTCATGTGTACTCTCCTCAGGTGGCCTGGGTGAAGCTGTGCGCTTTGCAGTAGCTGGAGAGCCTGGCATCACTGTGCAGTGCCTAGCAGTTACAGAAGTACCCCGAAGCGGGAAGCCCCAGGAGCTACTGGACCTGTATGGCATTGGTGCCAAGGCCATTGTGGCTGCAGTCAGAATGACCTTTGCCAACTGAAAGAATGGAACCTCTGTGGCTCACTGTCCTTTCTGATGTCAGTATATCCATGTGTTCAGTGCTAGAGCCAGTCATTTTAGGGGTGTCCCTTGTAATAAGGACAAATGCAGCAACTACATTAAATGGGACAGTCATCTAAATTTCAAGTCTGATCAAAGCTTGCTGTAAGAATTCAGGTGATGTGTAAAATCTGGGTGGGGGAACCTGAGGTACTTCGACAGCCTCAGCAATGTATGCTGTAGAGGTTGTTCCTCAGCCCTTAATGCATTCAAACATCTTCAGCTTAGCCTCAGAACATTCCATAGTTTTGGTGAACATTGCCTGAGCTGAAGGTCTAAAAGTGGAACATCACAAGCACTTAAATGCATGATACCTTTTGATATGAAGCTTGGTCACCTCAGAGGGTGCTTTTTTTCTACTGCTGTACTCATGGCATAAGGAACAATAAACCAGTTTCATGAGAGACTTGTCTGTTTCATGTAATGGAAGCAGGTGCATGTGGAGGTCAGCTTCTGTCTGTACTTTGGTGAGGGGTTTAAATGATGAATTCTGGGACAGCTTTTCCTTCAAAAGGCAAAAATCTGTATTATGAACTCTACTACTTGGAGTGGGGTTACACATTATATTGATGGCCAAAAGACGCTTCATTGAACCATTTGTGTGTGTTTTTGTTTTTTTTTAATCCCCATTTCATGGTGCTCTTGGTTTGCAGTGGGGCATGTGTTGAGGCTTTCTTTTTTTTTTTTAATAGAGCACCATCTTGTGTGATCACAAAATACAGCAAATGGTTCATGAAGCTTAATTTGGCCATCACTAGTAAATAACTAGTATGCAAAAGTGTTGCCTTTTACAAGAGG